GCAGGACAAGTGGAGTCCGGTTCCCAGGGAAGGCTCTCTCTCTCTCTCTCTCTTTGAAAGGCCCAGGCCAAGGCCCAAGAGGTTCGTGCGGCTGGCGGGAACATCCACTGAGACACACAGCCCTCATTCAGCCTTGACCTCATTTTCATTGCCTTGCAATCTTGGGCCCTGCTCCTGCTCTTTTAAAAAAACTCCAGAGTGCAGGAGGCTGGCATGCTGGGCGGGGGGGGGGGGGGGGGTTGCCATTTTTATTAAATTCGTTCATTGAATCCAAATTCGTATCTGGGGGTGAGCTCCCTATGTCAGCTCCAGCTCCCCATGCCGGGACGTGAGAGAAGCCTCCCACAAGGATGGGAAAACATCAAAACATCCGGGCAATGTCCCGTGGGCAATGTCCAAATTCGTATCTGGGGTGAGCTCCCTATGTCAGCTCCAGCTTCCCATGCCGGAATGTGAGAGAAGCCTCCCACAAGGATGGGAAAACATCAATACATCCAGGCATCCCCTGGGCCAAAATCGTATCTGGGGTGAGCTCCCTATGTCAGCTCCAACTTTCCATGCCGGGACATGAGAGAAGCCTCCCACAAGGATGGGAAAACATCAAAACACCCGGGCAATGTCCCCTGGGCAACGTCCGAATTCGTATCTGGGGTGAGCTCCCTATGTCATCTCCAGCTTCCCATGCCGGGACGTGAGAGAAGCCTCCTACACGGATGGTAAAACATCAAAACATCCAGGCAATGTCCCCTGATCAATGTCCGAATTCATATCTGGAGTGAGCTCCCTATGTCAGCTCCAGCTTCCCATGCCGGGACGTGAGAGAAGCCTCCCACAAGGATGGTAAAACATCAAAACATCCGGACAATGTCCCCTAGGCAACGTCCTTTGTTGACGGCCAATTCTCTCTCACCAGAAGCGACTTGCGGTTTCTCAGGTCGCTCCCAACATGACAATAAATCAAATAAAATTCGTTAACGTCCTGCCTTTCTTCCACAACAGGATCCCAGGCAACTTACGACTAAATAATACAGGCAGTCCCCAAGTTGCAAACACTGTCTCCACGGCAGCTTTCCCCACCAATCCTTGTTTCCACAACAAGCCATATTTTCCAAAATCCAATCATAGTCACAGGACTGTGCTATCCAAAGCTACATTGAATAGAGACTGGAAATGATACCTTTGTGCCAAAGTAACTGGAAATGATACTTTTGTGCCAAAGTAACTGGGAAATGATACTTTTGTGCTAAAGTAACTGGGAATTATACGTTTGTGCACTAAAACTAACAGGTTTTTTTCTGGGAAGATTCAGCTGGAGTTACACTCTGTTTTGGACTTACATACAGGTTCATTGAATAGCTTTGCAGCATCAAAGCCTGGCTGCTTCCTGTCTGGGGATCCTTTGTTGGGAGGTGATTAGCTGGCCCTGATTGTTTCTTGTCTGGAATTCCCCTGTTTTTGAGTGTTGTTCTTTATTTACTGTCCTGATTGCTGAGGTTTTTTTAATGCTTGTAAAGAACAACACTAGTAGACCAGCCATGGATATAGTAAGCAATGTTTACAAATGCCAAGAAATAATGCCTGGCAAGGGATGCTACATTTCAAATTGCGGGGCCGGCCTCGCAGCTTCATACCATAGAATGCGAGAGTTGGAAGAGGCCTCATGGGCCATCCAGTCCAACCCCATTCTGCCAAGAAGCAGGAAAATCACCTTCAAAGCACCCACAACAGATGGCCATCCAGCCTCTGCTTAAAAGCCTCCAAAGAAGGAGCCTCCACATCACTCAGGGGCAGAGAGTTCCACTGCTGAACACCAATAGCAAACCTTATCCTTATAATTAACCTTATCGTGAGGCAGAAAGTTCCACTGATAAACACCGTCAGCAAACAAGTCCCCTTATCCTTATCATTCATCTTATCATGAGGCAGAGAGTTCCATTGATAAACACCGGTAGCAAACAAGTCCCCTTATCCTTATATTAATCTTATCATGAGACAGAGAGTTCCACTGATAAATAACAGTATCAAACAAGTCCCCTTATCATTAATCTTATCATGAGGAAGAGAGTTGCACTGATAAACACCGGTAGCAAACAAGTCCCCTTATCCTCATCATTCATCTTATCATGAGGCAGAGAGTTCCACTGATAAACACCAGTAGCAAACCCTATCCTTATCATTCATCTTATCATGAGGCAGAGAGTTCTACTGATAAACTCTGGTAGCAAACAAGTCTCCTTATCATCATCATTCATTTTATCATGAGGCAGGGAGTTCCACTGATAAACACTAGTAGCAAACCCTATCCTTATCATTCATCTTATCATTGTATATTATTGTATAATGTGTTATGATGTTAACTGTTTTTTATACCGTGTTATTGTAACATTGAATTTTTGCTGTTCTTGTTGTTAACCGTTGTGAGTCGCCTAAGGGCTGAGAACAGCGGTATACAAATAAAGTAAATAAATAAATAAATAAATAATCATGAGGCAAAGAGTTCCACTGATAAACACCAGTAGCAAACAAGTCCCCTTATCCTTATATTAATCTTATCATGAGGCAGAGAGTTCCACTGATAAACAATGGTATCAAACAAGTCCCCTTATCATTAATCTTATCATGAAGAAGAGAGTTCCACTGATAAACACCGGTAGCAAACAAGTCCCCTTATCCTTATTATCATTCATCTTATCATGAAGTTATATTTTTATCATATTCCCTTTCAGAGAATCCGGGGCAGCCCCAGATGGCTCTTTGATCTCCGCACCCAGATCTGCTTTGTTTTATCAACCTTCTTTATCTATTTCCGTTACAGAAATCCTGATTTTCCATCCGAACCCGAACTCTGAAGCGGCTCACAACGGGATTAACTTCGAAAGGACAATATTGGAAGCACAATTAAATAAATTAAAACAGCAAAGCAAAACTGAACCAAGCAAGTCAATCAAAATGCAATCAATCAAAGCAAGTCAATCAAAACGGCAATGGCGGACAGCAGCCACTCATCCTAAGTCTCTTCTCTGGAAGTCGATAGAGTCGTACGGGTTGCTTACCTGTAACCATGTGTTCTCCGAGTGGTCACCTGGGAATTGGCACATATGGCGCAGGAAATACCATATGCACGATTCACAGTTGACCACGTCGGAAAACTTAGGGTCCCACCTGAATGAAAGGGCCTCTACTCACCGATGGAAGGACACCTCCTATGGTAAAGCTGAGGATAAAGCAGGCCTGGGCCAACTTGGGCCCTCCATCCAGGTGTTTTGGACTCCATCTGTTAGGAAGGCTTTGAGGGTGCCTTCCCACTTGGCAGACCATGATTTAGAATCTGGATGGCCATCTGTCAGGAGGGCTTTGATGGCACCTCCCTGCCTGCCTGGGAGATGCCCATTGGGGATCCCTTCTTGGAATTCTATGATTCAGAAACTGTCTGGCCATCTGTTGAGAGGGCTTTGATGGTGCCTTTCAGCCTGGTAGAAGACTGGATGGCCTTTGGAAGTTCCCTTCCTAGAATTCCATGATTCTGAAATTGATGGCCATCTGTCAGGAGGGCTTTGATGGTACCTTCCTGTCTAGCAGATCCCTTTAGGTATCCCTTCTTGGAATTCTATGATCCAGAAACTGGCTGGCCATCTGCCGGGAGGGCTTCGAGGGTGCTTTTCAGCCTGGCACAGCATGATTCAGAAACTGGTTGGCTATCTGTTGGGAGGACTTTGATGGGGTCTCTCAGCCTGGCAGAAGACTGGATGGCCTTTGGAGTTCCCTTCCTAGGATTCCACGATTCAGAAACTGGATGGCCATGTGTCGGGAGGACTTTGTGGGTGCCTTCCTGACTGGCAGGAGAATGGATGGCTTTGGGAGTCTCTTCCTAGGATTTTAGGATTTTAGGCTGACCATCTGCCGGGAGGGCTTGGAGGGTGCCTTCCTGCCTGGCAGAACATGCTTTAGAATCTGGATGGCCATCTATCGGGGGTGCTTTGAGGGTGCCTTTCAGCCTGGCAGAGGCTAGATGGTCTTTGGAAGTTCCTTTCCTAGAATTCCATGATTCAGGAATAGATGGCCATCTGTCAGGAGGGCTTTGATGGTACCTGCCTGCCTGCTGGGCAGATGCCCGTTGGGGATCCCTTCTTGGAATTCTATGATTCAGAAACTGGATTGCCATCTGCTGGGAGGGCTTTGAGGGTGCCTACCTGCCTGGCAGAGCATGATTTAGAATCTGGATGGCCATCTCTCGGGGGTGCTTTGAGGGTACCTTCCTGCCTGGCAGAAGGGGGTTGGACTGGATGCCCTTTGGGGATCCCGTCCTGGAATTCTATGATTCAGAAACTGGTTGGCCATCTGTTGGGAGGACTTTGATGGTACCTTCCTGACTGGCAGGAGAATGGATAGCTTGGGAGTCCCTTCCTAGGATTTTAGGATTCAGAAACTGGCTGGCCATCTGCCGGGAGGGGTTCAAGGGTGATTTTAAGCCTGGCAGAGGATGATTCAGAAACTGGTTGGCCATCTTTTGGGAGGACTTTGATGGGGTCTCTCAGCCTGGCAGAAGACTGGATGGCCTTTAAGGGTTCCTTCCTAGGGTTTTTGGAGTTCCCTTCCTAGAACTCCATGATTCAGGAATAGATGGCCATCTGTCAGGAGGGCTTTGATGGTACCTTCCTGCCTGCCTGGCAGATGGCCTTTGAGGATCCCTTCTTGGAGTTCCCTTCTTGGAATTCTATGATTCAGAAACTGTCTGTTGGGGGTGCTTTGAGGGTGTCTTTCAGCCTGCCAAGAGAGTGGGCGGTCTTTGGAGTGCCCTTCCTAYGATMTTAGGATTCAGAAACTGGWTGGCCATCTGTCGAGAGAGCTTTGATGGTGCCTTCCTGACTGGCTGGGGAATGGATGGCTTTGGAAGTTCCTTCCTAGGATTTTAGGATTCGGAAGCTGCCTGGCCATCTGCCGGGAGGGCTCTGAGGGTGCTGGGCCGGGCGTCCTTTCGGGTGGGCCCGGGGCTTCCTTACCGGCCTCGCCTCCCGCCCAGGAGGTTCCCGACGACGGCCTGGGCCAAGGCTCCGGTGGCGGCGGCGAGGGGTCTGCCCGGCGGGCCCGGAGGGATGAGGAGCGCGCCCTCCCGCTCGGGGGCCTCCGGGCAGCAGCACGACAGCCTCCCTCCCGCCCGCCGCCCGAGCCCCAGCGCCTCCTGCCCCGCTCCCGCGTCCCCGCKGCGCATTCCCACGTACGCCGCGACACGGGGATGGAGGATGATGAGGTCACCCGCATACCTGCCCGCCTCGCCGCCGCCGCCGCCTCCTGGTCCTCCTCCCTCCCGCCCTGGAGCTCGCCATCGGCCGGCACAAGCCCCGCCCACTCGGCAGCCTATCGCCAGCCGGAGACGCCGAAGCCACGCCCACGGTGTCCCATCCGCGCGTTCCCATTGGCTCGCTCGAACACTATCCTTCCCAAGCCACGCCTTTTCGGGATTGTCGGGAGAACGCGTTGAGGGAGCGCTAAGGAAAAGATGCGCCTCGTCTCTTAAAGGCGCCGCTCCCCTTTTTCCTCTCAGGAGGGGTTCAAACTCAGCCAAGTGTTGCAGCCCTTTCATTAGACAGTAAAACTGGAACTATTCTTCCATATTAAAATTAATTAAAATTCTTCCGTATAATCCACATTATCAGCTTTGAACCGGATTATATGAGTCTACACTGCCATATAATCCAGTTCAAAATAATCTGGATTTTATATGGCAGTGTAAAAAGGGCCTTAGGCTCTTGGGCTGGATCTCCACTGCCATGTTAATCCAGTTTTTGACTCCACATTGTTTGCTTTGAACTGGTTTATTTATGTGAGTCTACACTGCCATATAATCCAGTTCAAAATAATCTGGATTTTATATGGCGGCGTAGAAAGGGCCTTAGGTACTCAGGCTGGATCTCCACTGCCATGTTAACCCAGTTTCTGACTCCACATTATCTGTTTTGAACTGGTTTATTTATGTGAGTCCACACTGCCATATAATCCAGTTCAAAATAATCTGGATTTTATATGGCAGTGTAAAAAGGGCCTATCATGGTTTTCTATTGGCAAATAGATGGCGACTGGTAAAGGTAAAGGTTTCCCCTGACATTAGGTCTAGCCATGTCCAACTCTGTGGGTTGGTGCTCATGTCCATTTGTAAACTGAAGAGCCGGCGTTGTTCTTAGACACCTCCAAGGTCATGTGGCCAGCATGACTGCATGGAGCACCGTTACCTTCCTGCAGAAGTGGTACCTATTGATCTACTCACATTTGCATGCTTTCAGACTTAGTTTGGCAGAAGCTGGAGCTAACAGGGGGAGCTCATTCTGCTCACCGGATTCAAAATGCTAATTTTTCAATCAGCAAGTTCATGTGGCTAAGTTAACCAAAAGGCAATGTTTTCACTGGTAGAAGAGTGGGTTAAACCCCTGTGCCGGCAGGATTGAAGACCGACAGGTTGCAGGTTCAAATCCGGGGAGAGTGTGGATGAGCTCCCTCTATCAGCTCCAGCTCCACATGGGGGGACATGAGAGAAGCCTCCTACAAGGATGGTAAAACATCACAACATCCGGGCGTCCCCTGGGCAACGTCCTTGCAGATGGCCAATTCTCTCATACCAGAAACGTCTTGCAGTTTCTCAAGTTGCTCCTGACACAACACGCCTCCTCCTGAGAAAAATGTATAATATCACAAAGGACTACCACCTCACCCGCCTCATAGGAAACCTGCTACAAAACAGGAGCTTTTTTGTTGAGTTCCAGGGCCAGAGAAGCAGATGGCGGAAACAGAAGAACGGCCTGCCTCAGGGAAGCGTGCTTGCCCCATCCATGTTCAACATCTACACAAATGACCAGCCACTGCCAGAAGGGACAGAGAGCTTCATCTATGCTGATGATCGTGCCATTACTGCTCAAGCAGGGAGCTTTGAGATGGTAGAATGGAAGCTCTCTGAAGCTCTAAGTGCCCTTACTGCCTATTACAGGGAAAACCAGCTGATCCCCAACCCATCTAAAACACAGACATGTGCTTTTCACTCTCAAGAACAGACAAGCATCTCGAGCTCTGAGGATTATTACCTGGGAAGGAAGGAACCCCACTGGAGCATTGCAGCACACCCAAATACCTGGGAGTCACTCTCAACCATTCTCTGACCTGCAAGAAGCACTGCCTGAACATCAAGCAAAAAGTGGGTGCTAGAAACAATATCATACGAAAGCTGACTGGCACAACCTGGGGATCACAACCAGACACAGTGAAGACATCTGCCCTTGCGCTATGCTACTCTGCTGCTGAGTACGCATGCCCAGTGTGGAACACATCTCACCATGCTAAAACAGTGGATGTGGCTCTTAATGAGACATGCTGCATCGTGACGGGGTGCCTGTGCCCTACACCACTGGAGAAATTACACTGTCTAGCCGGTATTGCACCACCTGACATCCGCCGGGAAGTAGCAGCCAATAGTGAAAGGACCAAGGCAATGACATCTCCAGCTCATCCCTTTTTAGGTATCAGCCAGCATGTCAATGCCTTAAATCAAGACATAGTTTTCTAAGATCTACAGAGACACTCGCTGGAGCACCCCAGCAAGCGAGAGTCCAAAAGTGGCAGGCTCAAACCCAGAACCTCAATCAATCAAATGAGAGACACCCCCTGGGCACACAGAAGACTGGGCGACTTGGAAGGCGCTGAACAGACTGCGCTCTGGCACCACGAGATGCAGAGCCAACCTTAAGAAATGGTCACCAAGTTGAGTCCACGACATGTGAGTGTAGAGAAGAGCAAACCACAGACCACCTGCTGCAATGCACCCTGAGCCCTGCCACATGCACAATGGAGGACCTCCTTGCGGCAACACCAGAGGCACTCCAATTGGCCAGATACTGGTCAAAGGATATTTAATCAACTACCAAGCTTGCAAACTTCGTGTTTTGTTTGTTTTTTTGTTAAAAATGCAATACAACTGTTTGGCTTGCTTCTGACACGATAAATAAATAGCTGCTTCTTGATTGTCAGTGTTGTGCTTTATGAATTTCAGTGGTCCCTTGTTGCTACTTTGAAAAGCTGGCACCATCAAGGATTCTTGTTTGGGGGAAGAACCCTCCATTTTGAGCTCCCCCCATAGCTATATCCATTTCTCACATTGGCAAACATACCCACAGTACATTGCCCCCTTCTTTTCCGTGGCCAATTTTACAAGTAAGAGCTGATACGATCTCATCTTTGCACTTGCACGAGGGCAGTGCTGGGGCGGAGAGATTCCTGGCCCTTCAACCTATCATTATGTTATTTAATTCCAGGCCTGAAACAGAAACAAACACCCAGTGTCTTGGGCAACAAGACAAGCGATCACAATGAAAACTCTGCTGTGCCCCCTTTGGCACAAACCGGGTAACAACACACCCAGGTATCGAAACAGCACCAAAATATGTGGCTGTGAAAGGTGTTTGGTAATATATGTATTGTTGATGCATGCCTTCAAGTTGTTTCAGGCAAACCTATCATCATACCGTTGTATTGGGGAGATTGGTTCAGAGGAGGCTTGCTCCAAGTGTCCATGATTGGCCCCCAAATTTACCCTGTGGCAGAAATAAATGTAGGTTACACATCACTTGTAAATCAGAAGATTGTTAGCCATCCTGGCCTCAGCTGAATAGTATGTGTGTATATAGACCCATTTAAGGTGGAATCAGGTGTCAAACAGGGATGTGTTATTGCCCCAACTTTATTCTCCATCTTCATCACTATGATACTTCATCTTGTTGACGGAGTGGAAATCATCTATCAGACAGATGGCAAGCTGTTTAACCTCAGCAGACTGAAAGTCAAAACCAAGGTCACAACATCTGTTATAGAACTCCAATATGCCGATGGCGTCATCTGTGCGCATTCAGAAGACCTAGAAACCACTCTAAACATCTTAACAGAAGCATACGAGAAGCTCAGCCTGTCATTGAACATCGAGAAAACCAAATTGCTCTTCCAACAGTCACCGGCCAATACATATACATACCTCATGCCAGAGGTCCTTATAACACAGCAGGGATGGGTAAATTTGCTGTTTTGGACCGTAAAATCCAGAATACTGCAGTCAATATTGCTATCAGATTGTGCACATTCAGAAGACCTACAAGCCACTCTAAACACCTTTGCAGAAGCATACAAGAAGCTCGGCCTGTCATTAAATATCGAGAAAATCAAAGTACTCCCAATCCCTCTCCAATGCCAAAAATACAGCTTAATGGTGGAACATTAGAAAATGTGGACCATTTCTGCTCCCTTGGCAGCCACCTCTCCACAAAAGTCGACATTGACACTGAAATTCAACACTTTCTGAGCTCTGCGAGTGCAGCATTTTTTCCAAAAGAAGCAGAGAGTGTTTGAGGACCAGGATATCCGTAGGGAGACCAAGGTGCTTGTTTATAAATCTATTGTCCTCCCAACCCTGCTATATGCCTGCGAGACGTGGACTGTCTACAGACATCACATGCAATTCCTGGAAAGATTCCATCAGCGCTGCCTCCGGAAAATCCTGCAAATCTCTTGGGAAGCCAAGTGGACAAATGTCAGCATTTTGGAAGACGCAAAGACCACCAGCATTGAAGTGAGGGTCCTCTGCCATCACCTCCGCTAGACCGGCCATGTTGTCCAGATGCCCGACCACCGTCTCCCAAAGCAGTTGCTCTACTCCGAACTCAAGAACGGAAAATGGAATGTTGTGGGACAGGAAAAGATATTGAAAGACAGGCTCAAAGCCAACCTTAAAAATTCTTGCATTGACACTGAGAACTGGGAAGCCCTGGCCCTTGAGCGCTTCAGCTGGAGGTCAGCTGTCACCAGCAGTGCTGTAGAAGAGGCACGAATGGAGGGTGAGAGAGAAACGTACCAAGAGGAAGGCGTGTCAAGCCAACCCCGACCGGGACTGCCTTCCACCTGGAAACAGATGCCCTCACTGCGGGAGAACATACAGATCAAGAATAGGGCTCCACAGTCACCTACGGACCCACCGCCAGGACACTGATCTTGGAAGACAATCCTACTCAGACTACGAGGGATCGCCTAGGTAAGTAAGTAAGTACGGTTACTAATACCAAAACATCCGACTATTGTATTCCAAAACTGACCARTGATACTTTTTGGAAATACATGCCAACCAGTGCATTTGTCACTGAAATTCCAATGAACTTGATAAGGCTTGTGTTCCTTCCATTTCTCCGTCCTACGTAAATTCTGAAGAAAGCTCCCCCTCTAGTGGGCACATCAAGAAGTACCAACACGAAAACTTCTATGGACATGAAGATCACCGCCAAAGACTAATCACAAGGCGCTTGCTCCACCATGCTATCTTATAATAGTACTAGCCYTCCCCTGCCAGGCGTTGCTGTGGCCCAGCATGGTGACCTGGAAAATAAAGTATTGAGAAAGTGTTGGTTTCTAATATATGTAATTTCTTTCTGCTTGTGGGTAAACAGTATTTCTTGTTGTTTCTTTGTCTGTGTTGATGTGGAGAGTGTCTGGTTTGCCTACTCTGGAATATGCAACACATAATTGTCCTTCTTTAGGGGTCCCTTTCAAATCTGTGATACTATCTCTGTGTGCGTGTGTGAATCATATCTATCTATATCTATGGCTGGATGGCTCTTTGTCAGGAGGGTTTTGATTACATTTTCTTGCCCTGGTAAAGAGAGTTGGAATGGATGGCCTTAAGTATTTTCTGTTGGTCATGGGGGTTCAGTGTGGGAAATTGGCCCCAATTCTTTTGTTTGTGGGGTTCAGAATGCTCTTTGATTGTAGGTGAATGATAAATCCCAGCAACTACAACTCCCAAATGTCAAGGTCTATCTCCCCCAAACTCGATCTGTGTTCATATTTGGGCATATGGAATATTTGTGTCAAGTTTGGTCCAGATCCATCATTGTTTGAGTCCACAGTGTTCTCTGGATATAGGTGAACTACAACTCCCAAACTCAAGATCAGTACCCACCAAACCCTTCTAGTGTTTTCTGTTGGTCATGGGAGTCCTGTGTGCCATGTTTGGTTCAATTCCATCATTGGTGGAGTTCAGAATGCTCTTTGATTGTAGGTGAACTATAAATCCCAGCAACTACAACTCCCAGATGACAAAATCAAAATTATTGAGTGATGGTCGCTTCTTGGGTTAGGAGGTGTCTTGTGGTCAAATTTGGCAGCAATTCATCCAGTGGTTTTTGAGTTATTTTAATCCCACAAATGAACATTACATTTTTATTTATATAGATGTTGTTCTATGTAGATGAATGTTGCTTTTATACATACATTGTTTATGTAAATGTTTGCAGTTTTGTGAGCTGTCCCGAGTCCCTTTGAGGAGATGGTGGTGGGGTATAAAGTTGTTGTATTATTATTATTACACAAGATTAGTACACAGCAGACAAGATCACTATGCTGGCTTTAGTATTGGATCACAAATCGGACACTTCCTAAGTGTCTAGGACTGTGTGATGTACCGGCGAATAATGTGTGCAGATCCAAGTGGCGGGGAGGGGGCTTTTAAAGCTGACAAATGGTAATTTTGTCAGCACCAATGGTTTTTAAGTGCAGGACAAGGTCTTTAGACATTGCACCACTAGGACCACCTTGACTGGCTTGTGCCAGGTTTTCGTAGTTTGATCTTTAAATCCTTGTATTGTGTAAACTTGTTCAGTTGCTTCTCTTCTTTCCTGCGGTCGCCTGGGATTGCAACATCGATCTATACCTTGTGAAGTCAGGAGTATTGTGCTCCAAAAGTTTTGTCAGTCTGAATTTGGAAGTCTCAGAGAAGTTTGATATGTTTATTCTGTGTAACTTTTTCAGGCTTGTGATCTCACCAGTTTGTTGTCACAGGCAGATAGTATTTGTGGCACAAGTTCCAGTGGATCGTCTGAGCAATGGTGTTATGCCTCTGCTTATAGTATGTCTGTGCATCCTGCAGCAACTGAATATGTGATCCATCGTTTCGTCTGCTTCCTTGCAGTCTACATCTGGAATCTGTCATCGACTTTTAAATTCTGGCTTTGATGGCATTGGTTCTAATTGTTTGTGATTGGGATGTAAGAATCAGGCCTTCCATCTCAATTTTCAAAGTTCTATTTGTGAGCATTATTATTATTACTAGCTGTACCTGCCACACGTTGCTGTGGCCAAACTTCCCTCCCTCTTTCTCTCCTTCCTTTCCTCTTTTTCTTTCCCTTCCTATTTTATCTTCTTCTTTCTTCCATCTCTACCTGTTTCTTTCCTCCCTTTCTTTGCTATATGGTTACATCCTTCCTTCCCTGTATTTTTCCTTTCACTTTTTTATTTCCTTCTCTCTTTCCTTGCTTCTCTACCTTTCTTTCTTTCCCTCACTCCTTCTCTCCTTCCCCCTTTCCCTCCTTCATTCCTTCCCCTTTCCCTCCTTCTCTCGTTACTTGACTGTCCCTTTCAACTCTATTCTATAAGTCTATTTAATTAGTATTATATAGTAATGTATAATAGTAACGTATTATATAGTAATCTATATAACAATATATAAAATATTGTATTTATATCTTACATAGAAAGATGGAAAAGAAGAAGGGAGGAAGGAAAAAAGGGAGGGAGGGAGGGTAAGAAGGGAAGGAAGGAAGAAGCAAGGAAGGAGGGGTGTGAAGAAAGGAGGGAGGGAAGGAAACAAAGGGGGAGGAAATGTAGAAAGGGAAAGGAAGGAAGGAAGGAAAAGAAGGAAAGGAAGAAGGGACAAGATGGAAGGGAAGGAGGGAAAGAAGGAAAGGAAGAAGGAAGGGAAGGAAGGGGGGAGGGACAGGAAGGAAAGGGAAGGAAGAAAAGGAAAGAAAGGGAGGGAGGAAAGAAGGGAAGAGAGTGAGGGAGAGAAGGAGTGGAGTATGGCAGAGGCAGCTACCTTCGGGTCTGGATGTTAATAGGAGAGAGTGAGTGTGTTAAATGTGTGCTCATGTTGCCGGAGACAGCCGAGCAGGTCAAACAGAAAGAAAGGTAGGAGCTGAAAAAGAAAGCAGAAGGATCTACAGAAATGAGGGAGAAGAAGAGGGAGGAAAGAAAGGAGTTGGAGGAGGAAGAAGGAAGCAGGATGCAGAGGAATGGGAGAATTCAAAAATAAAACTTGTTTCTACCTTTTTCTTTCTTTCCTCCTTCCTGTAGTGAAGGGAGGCAAGAAAGTTGGTGAAGAAGCGAACAGTCTCTCTCTCCTCCTCCCCCTGTCCTGCCTGCTGCTTCTACCGGGACATCTTGGAGGAAGAGGAGGCGACAAAAGGGGGGGGGGGCAGCCAAGAGGAAGAAGATTGCTGCTTCTGCTGGTGAAGGAGGGACTTGAGGAGCCCATCCACCATCCTCCTCTTCCTCACTTCTAAAGTGGTGGTGGCTAATGGTTTAACGGCTGCTGTTTCCCAGTAAGGAGGAGGGGGCGTGGCCATGGGTCTCTTTGTGGTCATGCAATTTAGAAGTCCTTTCTGCTTTTTGTTTTTGTTGTTTTTTTGAGTGAAGGACATACATTGGGCTGTTAGATGTATTGTGTTCAAATTTGGTGTCAATTCCCCCAGTGGTTTTTGAGTTTTGTTAATCCCACAAACGAACATTACATTTTTATTTACATAGATGATCATCATCTTTGTTCCTTGGACTTACTTTTGAGGCACAAAGACTATTCCTCTTCCTGGAAGTGAAAATTATGTAGTTCCAAGATAAAAGAGTTTGTCCCTGGTCTCTTACAAACTACAACAGTGTTTCAAACTTGAGAAAGCAACACTATGTGGGTAGAACCACCTACATACACATTCATCAGACATCTTCCTGATGACGAAAATTACTGAGGCTGTTTATCTCCACAAACCAAAGCACCCCAAAACCAGCCTACAAAGCTAATGAGTAACAGAAGCAGCACCTTTTAAGCCAAGGGAGAGAGAGAGAAAAAAAACATCAGGCGGTAACATGTGAGTGAGCTCTGCTTTATTGATGTACAGTTGTACTCTACAACCTGTTACAGTAGGTCACTTATCCAGATTGAGAGAGGATAGTGCTCTCAGGAAACAAGACTCAGATCGGAACACAGAACACAACACTGCAACAGGCGCACAAACAACTCTTAGCAGCTTGAGGTGTGGGGAGTGCATCGCAATGGTGACAGTATTCCTCAGCCCCTTAAGTTCCAGGACCATCTCTGTCCCAGTCAACTTCTTTCAGTGATTATCAAAACTGGAACAGATTGTAAGCACTTTGTCAACACTCATTTCCACGACCCTCTTCCAACAAATACTGGCAATGAGGTACAGCAAGAAGATTGAAAGAATTTGTATTTTGGACCTTTCTAGGGGCAAGTGAGTATAGATTTTTTTATCATGGCCTACTGGAGTGTACATTTAGATATCCAAGTGATTGTGTGTCATGGTTTATGTTAAAGCGTACCAAAAACCCCTGTATTCTCACGGCAACACAGCAAAACTAGTGAGATGCTGAAAGATTTAGAGTGCTATGGACTAGTGGAGTGTTTGGGTAGAGACCTGACAGTACAAATAAATCTACAGAAAAGAATAAAGGACTTTGGGTGAGAGAAGTGAGACAGGTACGACAGCAAGCCCTGCACACTCTAGATCAGTCAGACATACCAGGAGCCTGGTTTTCCTGCACCACGGAAAGATCGGCAGGAAAGACCTGGGGCAGCCCTAGTTGTCATGCTAGACAATCTTACGCTGACTCTGGACAAATAAGGCAGGGGAGCCTGAGAAGGGGGGAAAGGAAAAGGTTCTGCTTATCAGAGAACTATTTCAAGTATTTCTAAGATTTAACTCTCTTCCCCCAGTTACTGCACTTGGTGGTTTTTGGCAGCCTCTACAGACAAGGACAATATCGCAAGCAACTGCTGATCTAAATGCAAGGGGAAGGTGCTTGAGATAGGAGAGGGATGAGGTGGCCGGGCAGGTGTTTATGGGACGGGCACCACTCGCATGGTGTTGGTGTAGCCAGACCCAGGGCGCCACCCTGTAAGCACGATGACCATGTCGCCAGTCTTGAAGAAGCCACGGGCTTTGCCTGGGAGGGAGAAAAGAGAATGAACAGTGAGGAATGAGCCTTATTACTATGATACATATAGTAACCACCACAAGGAACCATGTAAGCTACCCCGAGTCCCTTTGAGGAGATGGAGGGGGTTTTACAAAAATAAAATAATAATAATAATAATAATAATAATAATTATTATTATTATTATTATTATTATTATTGCCTTATTTAATTCTAAAACTTATCAAAAAATCTGCTATTATAATTCTACAGATCAGGTGCATTTGCACTAATGAACCAAAGCAACTAATGAACCAAAGATCATCCAGAAAGGCCCTGCTCTCGCTCCCATCAACAGCACAGATGCGCTTGGTGGAGACGAGAGACAGGGCCTTCTCGGCTGTAGCCCCCCGCCTATGGAACACACTCCCAAATGAGGTAAGATCCACTCCCTCCCTCCTGGCTTTTAGAAAAAAATTTAAATCATGGTTTTGGGACAGGGCCTTTGAGCAGTAGAAGTAAATGGATGCAGCATTTCAGAAAGACAATGACTGGAATGGCGATTTGACGGACGAGGCTGTTTTATTGTTTTAATTATAGTTTTATTGCTCATGGATAGATTTTTAAATTTGATTTACGTCTAATTGTAGTGTATAATTGTAATAGTTTGTACTGGCATTGAATTTTTGCTATTACTTATGTGTAAACCGCTTTGAGTCCCCCTCGGGGGTGAGAAAAGCAGTATACAAATACTGTAAATAAATAGATAAATAAACAAATACTAGAAGTGAAATACTAGAAGTCCTGGGTTGACAAAATCCAAAAAAGTAAACATCTAAAGATCAAGGAAAATAATCACAAAATAGTACAGAACCCTCTTACAATTGGCACCCTTTATGGGAAACATTTCTAATAAATGCTGGCATAGATGTGGGGGGTTGGGGCATTTTCTCATATGTGGTGGGATTGCACTATTACAACACAGTCTGGGAAACAATAGAAGAAATAATAGGGTATATCTTATAATGGATAATATCTTATAAAGCCCAATTTCTATCCCTCACTATACAAATGGGCAGAAATATTAAAATGTATGGTATCAGGCATACACACAACAATTGCTTGAGATTGGAAAGACAAAACAGGGTGGGATCTGGAAACATGGTGGATTTACCTCTCTGAATATTTAATTAAAAAATTATTAATCAAGGGAAAATAAATGTTTGAATAGTAATTCCAAACAAGACTGGAATAAGAAATGGTATTGTCTAATTGACAAAATGGAAGGAAATGATAGGTCCAGAATTTTGAACCAGGCCATCCAAACAATTAAATTGATGCATTAAAATAAAATAAGCTGACCCAGATGGGGGGTGGGAAGAGGGGAGGAGGGGGTGGAGATTTAAGGGGAAAGTAACTGATCTATATTGAAGTCCAAACTGAGCTTAGTTACAAAAACTGTCATCAATATTGATTTATAGAACGTCAAGGTTTGTAATATTATGTATTGTTAGTTGTGTGATTTTCAGAAATAAAACAATTTAAAAAGCTATATATATATATACATACATACATACATATATGTATGTATATATAAAACAAAACTAGAAGTAAAAGCATCTCCATGTTCCTAATTCACATTCTGATAGCCAACACAAATTGCAGGCGTTTTCTATAGCTTCCACGTAAGTTATAGCAAAGGGAAACGAAACCAAAGAGAGCAACCTACCAACATCCATGCCCATATTCACTCGTAGATCAACATCCTCAGCCCAGGAGTCATGTGTTGGCTCCTTGCACAGCACAGGGAAAATGCCGCGATAGAGGTGGGCCTGGCGGGCTGTCTGAGAATCACGGGTCACAGCAATAATGGGAGCACGCGGGCGGTATCTTGATACCAAGTGGGCAGACCTATGAAGGGGGAGAAAAGAACATACATATGGTGGGTTCAACTGTCATCTCACTCAGCCCTGACTGAGGCAACAGGTCTATGTGTTAGGATACATAATGAATGTGTTAGCCTCCACAATGAATCCTTGATTAAAAGAACATCAAAAGGGAGTAAAAGACTGCTTGTAACCAGAGTTACAAAATTTCACTGCTGATCTCACAAAAATGGGCAAGTGTCGCACTCCAGATATTTGGCCTATGACTCTCATCAGCCTGAGTCCAAGGAGGCGCTGCAGGGTACTGGGTGATGAAACAAAATCCAGCATTAAACTGAACTGTCAAAAGTTCAGAGGTCTTCGAAAAGGTCAGCATAAGATTCACAGGCTGGAACCCTCTACAAGGAAACATCACAGAACAGCTTACAGCATATCTGAATTATAATTTAAACTTCCTCCAATTTCACAGAAGATATTATGTGGAGGAACTGTCCAGAAACAGATTCTTGCTCCCATGTTTCACCCTGTAAGTGAAACATACGTTTGGATAAAGAAATATAAAATGGCACAGCACACCCTTACATTTTGAACAATCTCTTGTTTCTGCAGTTATGTATCAGAGAAATAATCTGATGTGAAAGCTTTGCATTCTTTCCAGCTTCAAACAATGTAGTCATTACTGGGCAAATAAATGGCAAATACAAAAAACTAATAAAATCTCAAGTGCATTAACTGCGTGGGTATAGATTTTGCAGCTTTTGTTTTTGCCAAGCTAACTGCACTGAAGATCCATTTGCATTTTGAGGTGGCTGCTTATTCAGTATGAGCTAGTGCAGGGGTCCTCAAACTTTTTAAACAGAGGGCCAGGGCACATTCCCTCAAACTGTTGGGAGGGCCGGATTATAATTTGGGAAAAAAAGCATGAATTCCTATGCACATTGCACACATCTTATTTGTAGTGCAAAAAAAAAACCCACTTTAAAACAATACAATAATTAAAATGATGAACAATTTTAACAAATATAAACTTATTAGTATTTCAATGGGAAGTGTAGGCCTGCTTTTGGCAGATGAGATAGGATTGTTGTTGTTCTGTGCTTTCAAGTCATTTCAGACGTAGGTTGACCCTGAGCGAGGGCCGAGTAAATGACCTTGGAGGGCCGTATCCAGCCCTCGGGCCTTAGTTGAGAACCCCTGAGCTAGTGCATGCATCTCTCCCACCTATGACATTTGGTCCACATTTGTCATTCATTTTAACAACGTCTACTGCAAAAACTTAAGTCTGAGTCAGCATGTTTTGATTTATTTCCATCTATTTGAAGTATATACTGCATGTCCACAAGCTGGAATTTACTACTTGTTTTGACTGCTCCAACCATAGCTTCTTTGCATGATATACCTTCTCAGTCACCTCTCCCACTGAGTGCAAAGAGTATTTTGGTGTGTGGTTTTTTTCAAGTAACATTGATTTATATCGCTGTTGCTCATATATACTTTTAAATGAGTTTCAAATGAGTTGCATATATTTCACTATTAGACTAATTTTCTGCCATGTTGATGCTTTGGAAAGAGACTGTACCCATATTTAATATGCAAGTAAGATACTTTCCAGCTAAGATAAAAATGAAGAAAGAGCTTACACTAGTAATAAACATTCTCCTTTACTCACAATAAGACCCCATTATTCAACTGTCACATTCAGTAGCTTGGTGCATTATCCGGCCACCTGAATGACTGAAGTCCATGTGACCTCTGCCAGAACCATCTACCTCCTACCTTCCAGATTTGGTGAGAACGATAATGGCCCCACTGCAGCACTTGAAGGAAGCTTCCACAGCACCAACAGCGGCAGCTTCAGTAGGATCCCGGTTCAGGGGAGCCAGCCTTCGGAGCTCTTCAAACAATTGCCTGTGAAAGATGGCTGCCTCTGCTTCGCGAGCAATCTATAAGAGCAACACGCATTCGGGAGACAACATCCGCATCAGTCATCGCCAGTGGCATGAGTGAAGGTGGGGTGCGGGACTCGGCAGAATGCCTACACTGATCAAGCCCCAAAGAGAAGCAAGCCCGAAGGAGCATGTGACAGTGCAGATGAGGCAACATCAGCCAAAAACACATGTTGGGAACCCTCAAAAGAGGGGCAAAATTAGCACGTGCCTTTGGACTGCATCCATTCAGTGGGTAGACACACAGGGCATTTGCCAAAGTCACCCCAACTCCATTCTGCCAGCAGTCTTCACACTCATCCATGCGCAACTGCCAGTCACTCTTGCTCTGCTTCCACCTACCTCAAGCGCTAGAAAGATGAAGGCAGACTGTTTGCTTTTGCTATAGAAAAGTGCTGTGAGAGGAGCAGGAACCAATTCTATGACACAGCAACTTGCTTTTTGGAGAAATCTTTTAAACCACTTTAGAAGGAAGGATCTTATCGCTCTTACTTGCCTGCCTGACTCTGATCCCTACCTGCCGGACTCTGTCAAAACTATCACAGCTGCAGCTAAGCACTTAAAAGAGGCCTCCACAGCGCCTACAGCAATGGCATCAAGAGGGTCCCTGATGTTAACAGTGAGGCGGAAAAGTTCTTCAAACAGCTGGCGGTGATAGATTGCAGCCTCAGCCTCCCGAGCAATCTGTAGGCCGGAGGAAGAGGGTAGGAGGAAAAGAGGAGCAACACAAAAAGGAAAGAGATACACCAGAGTAAGGATGAAATTAATGTGCAAAGAGAGTTAATTGCTTGTCAGCAGTGCATGCAAGGTCAAAGGTAGGGTGGTGCAGGTTGTCCAGGTTAGAAAAAGAATCAGCAGCATCAGTCAGTTTTGAGATCCACACTTGCTTTGTGGGTGTACCACAAAGCAGAGTTGGATTGATTTCAATTTAATTTTTTCTTACCAAGTACAGAAAGTTGGGGAAAGAAGTCAGATTGGAAACAGTTTAGGTTTTTTCTTGGCACTTCTGAATTCTATCAGACTGCAGACTCAATCATGACCATAAGGGATTTATTTATCCAGCCACAATTTTAGTGCTAATTTCTCTATTCAGACACTTTAGTGGTTTGATCCCTACAGAAAGAGATGCTGAACAGATTCTTTGACTGCACCACTCTATCTTCTAATAGAAACAAAGTTCATCACTTATTTGGCTGTACAGGATTTGTGTAAAAATGCAAATTTGGACCGGAATTAGCAGGTAGCCCATGTATATATAGGATGCTGAAAATTAAGAAAGAAGGGTCTTCTCTGAAGGAAGCATTACCAATCTGGACTGTACACTGCTCTCAGGTGGAACTTCCCCCCGCCCCTCATATTAACATTTCTGATTACATCCAAGTGCATAATCGCAACCATTATGCACTTGAGAATTTACTTCAATAGTAACCTATAAATTGGTAGGCTACTTTCAGTTTACACACCCTTATCAGCCAAAGTAGAGACTTCTATAGAATTTTTAAAGCATGCAAAGAGATCTATCAATTCAAGAATTATTGCACCTATACAGACAAGATGAGATTTGATGGGAGACATTTACATAAATGTTATATTAAAGGAATTCCATAGTGCCACCCACACAAGAAGTGCTATATATTGTTTTTCTTCAATCCGAAGACGCAGAATTAGGTGGGTGAACAGGACAGGAGAAAGCCAAGAAGCCCAAAATTAACTCTAGGAGCAAAGTCAATAGAATGCGCAGACACAGTTTATTTAGGAGATTGAGCTGAAAGGTGATTGAAACTCACCTGGAAAATATAAGCTACTGTTGCACATCAATACATTCAAGGTCACAAAAATGTGCTGGTAAACCACTTTCTGGGCTCTACTACTATGAGCTGTAAGTGAAAGCTTGCATGACTGAATATTCTTTCACACAGCAAAAGGTTGGAATCTTCCTTCCATGTCCATATTTAAAATACAGTCTATTTCTTAAAGGAAGGATATGTTAGAATATGTCCAACATAATGGGAAATCAGGGAACGAAGCAGTGCTTGAAAACAATTGGGTTGCTGTGCATTTTCTAGGCTGTACAGACATGTTCCAAAAGCATTCTCTCCTGCCATTTCGCCTGCATCTATGACAGGCATCCTCAAGCGAATCATCTTCCAACAAAGGATTCCCCCAGGCAGTGAGCAGCCAGACCTTGAAGCTGCAAGGCCATTACATGCTAATCAAGGTGGCCAATTGCAACATTTAGTCCTGCCTCAATCAGACAAGAGTTCTTACTCCCATCCTGGACATTCCCAGTCACCCAGTTTCCAAAAGACCTCACAACCTCTGAGGACGCCTGCCATAGATGCAGGCAAAACTTCAGGACAGAATGCTCCTGGAACATGGGTCATACAACCCAAAAACTTCACAGCAACCCAGCGATTCCAGCCATGAAAGTCTTCGCCAATACATTGAAAACAATTGTTTAGATTCATCAGGATATTTAGAAAACACACAAGGTTATCAAGCAAAATTAGCCCAAGCTATTTTTTAGAAGGATTTGTTAAGTCAAGGCTGTTAACACATGCTCTCAGGAGGCATCCAATACTTCTGCAACCTTCCTATGTATTTTCAAATAGGGTTGCAATTCTACCTTTTGAAGGGATGATAATGTTTCAGAAATATGCATGTTTAAAAACAAGATTCCATTTTGGTTTTGAACTTTTCTTCCATGTTTTAGCTTTAAAGAGTAGCCGGGGAAGAGTCTTCGGTTTGTCTTTTCTGTGCTTTTAAGCGCATCTGTCATGAGTTCCAACTTTCCTAATTTGTCCTTCCAGGAAGCAACTTTCTGAAGCAGTCAAATGGGCACAGTAAAATTCCCGAATATCATTTACCGAGTGAACTTAAAGTAAATGACAACATGCTATTGAGGTATGGAAGGTCACTGAAGTTCTTTGATCATTTCCTGAAAGGGAGGTTTCTGATAGTTAGTGATCAGCCCAATTGGTACCAAACATCCATGCTTGCTGAAGCCTCATAGGAGCTGCTTCTCACATCTATCTGATGCCAAGTTATAAAAAGAGCAGACTCCAAGCAAAAAGGCAGTATTAGCACAATTGTATTACCTGAGAGTATCTTTCAGTAAAAGCTGGCTAACCTGAACTGCAGCTCTCAAACTAGTAGGTTATCAAGACTGTTGTAATTCACAGCAGACTGTCAACACAATCAGTACTTTAATTTTTGTATCCAGTATCAAGATGTCAATGAAAAACTGGAGAACTCCAAAGCAGAGCAAAGAGTATTCTGGCAGTTTAGACATGTAAAAAAGGCTACTCATGCACTTAAAAAAATTAAAACACCGTCCAAGGGCACAACTGCTGAAGATAAAGCAATGTTTAAGTAAACAAACAGCATCAGACCAGGCACACCACAAGCCAATGCTAGGACTTGATCCAACATTATTAATTTGCTCACAGAATGAGTGTAAACCTTAAGTTCTCTCTCCCCTCACTGGATATGAAACTTCAAGGATCATTGGGTTACTAATTATCTTTAATCCATGAAGAGTAAAGCAAAACAAGGAACATATAGGGGCCTCAGGTTCACATCTGGATTTACTTCAGGTGGAATTCCAGGGGTTTTGCCATATTTGAAGCGGACTCAAAATAAAGGCAATCCTAATGCAGAAAAGCTAGACTACTCAGAATACAATCTGAGACATACACTAAGAAGGAAGTTTCCAAACCTACTGTTCCAGTCTTTACTTTATCCATAAAGGTAACATGTAACACTTAAAGCAGGCTTGCACAGCCTGCAGCCCTCCAGATGGACTTCGGCTCCCAGAATTCCTGGCCAATGGACAAGCTAGTTAAAGCTTTTGGGAGTTGAAGGCCAAAACAGCTGGAGGGCCTGCTTAAAGCAATGGCTTACCATATGCAGTTTGTGCAAGAAACCACTATATCTTTCACTGATAACTATCATAGTCTGTCATATAGCATATATAAACCCATAGCAAGAAACCAGGTATCTGCTTGTTATAAATTATTAAGCTAACCCCCTTGAAATGTAAGAGCTTTGGAGAAAGGACTATGGGTGAACAGGGCATAAGGTCTGCTAACAAATGGGTCTCACTCACAAGATGCTGCATCCGAACAGCTTCCAGTGGATAGTCTCCTTTGGCGGTCTCTCCGGAGAGCATGATACAGTCAGCTCCATCCAAAACAGCATTAGCCACATCACTCCCCTCGGCTCGGGTTGGGCGTGGCTTCTTAATCATGCTCTCCAGCATCTGAAGAAAGTTAAAAGTATTTCAATACAAAGAAGAGCAGGTTATTTACATAGTTAAGAATGCAACCATTCAGTTCCTACACTGCACATTACAACCCTTATTCTCTGCATTCTCTTGTGAAGGCCTCCATGCAAACATTTATACAATCAATAGCAAAGACATATAAAGAATCTCTAGTTTGAAATATACTTCCTAAAATCTAAAAACTTTCCAATTGCAGAAACAAGTATTTTCTTAATTTCTTATTCATTACTGAAGAACATTATTTTCATTCATATATTTCATATAAAGAAGACCTTATTGAGGTTAGGGTTCTGTTTCTTTAAAATAAACAGTCTGCTAGACAGAGATCTTGTTATTTAAGGATTAGTAACTTATCCTTATTCTTTCTATGTTATTTCTGTCCAGGAACTGAACTTCTTATTACAGAGGTAATGCCCAGTAACAGGAACAGATCTCCTTGGTTAACTGTGGTATACTTGCATAGTCAAACAAGCTCTACACTGCTTTCTTGGCATGTGATATTATGCCAGTATTTTTCACCAGGGAACAAAATCCTGCTTTCACGTAGACCTTAACTACAGGAGATAAAAAAAAACTGGCTTAAGGTTCACTTGTCAACCATCATGTCTATTATTACTACTAAATACCTGAGTGGCACAGATGATTGGCTTGCCAGCTCTGTTGCATCGACCAATCATCATTTTCTGGGCAAGGAAGACCTTTTCAGTAGGAATCTCAATACCAAGGTCACCACGAGCCACCATGATGCCATCACTAGCCTCCATAACCTCATCAAATCTAAAAGGAAAGGAAAGAACATTTATATTCAATCTGAGAGAAACATTGCAGTGGTGATTTACCAATTACTTTCATTATCCTTATTGATAGCAACAATAGCTAGAATTACATAGCAAACCAAAACACAGTACAGGATTCTTCCTTGTGATGCATGGGACAAGATCAGTCCCTTCGGGGAGATGGTGGTGGGGCACTGATGATGATGATGATAATAATAATAATAATAATAATAATAATAATAATAATAATAATATCATCAGTAAAATACTTTGTGGGTGTAGATTGTTGCTTCAACAAGAAGAGATGGAAAGTAACTCCTGACAATACTGCAAGACAATCCAGGAGGGAGATCTAAGAAGTGGAATCTGATCAATCAAAAATACCATTTAGAACTCCAATTCACAATTTCCCTCCTTCAAAATGAATGTCATTGCAAGCTATAATGTTTGGAAGCTAGAACACAAAATGTAACTATTGTAGGAATTTGACCTAATACAGATGGAGACTGACCAGATAGATGGACAGGTTCTCAACATAAAGTTATCTCAACTGCAATATTTGAGACCAGATTACCTGCGCACTCCCTCGTGGTTTTCAATCTTGCTAATGATCTTGATGTTCTTTCCCTTTTCCCCCAGCACCTTCCTGACAGCATGAACATCGGCTGCCTTACGGATGAAGGAAGCAAACACCATGTCGACACCTTGCTCTACACCAAATTGCAGATCCTGGATGTCCTTTTCAGAAACAGCTGGAAGGTCTACTGCAGCGCCTGGCAGGTTGATACCCTTCTTGCTGCCTAACATACCACCATTTTCAATTTCTGTGATGAGGAAGTCAGCACCTGGACAGAAATTTTTAAAAAATTAGAACTGTAACAAATTGGGTTATACTGATGGCTTTGTGGGGTTTTTGGGTGATCTCAAGGACTGCACGTGGTTCACACCTTGGCCACCCATGTTTAAAAAACTGGTATTGCAAACACCACCATCATACAAATGTTTTAAGCACTGAAATGGTAATCATTTTGTTCAGCCTTTTTCAGGTCATCGCAACCCTGAAAGAAGAGTTAATATGAATCTTGCTAATGAATTTACTTACACATAAGTAAATTCCTTTTTAAGACTTGGTTACAGGACATACCTTTTTCCTTAACCTGCAGGGAAATAAGGCCATCATCCACATAGATTTTGCTGCCAATCTCCACAACCTTGGTAATATTTTTGTAGTCCACCCATAGGACATTTTCATCACAATTCTCCATGAAAGCATTATCCAGAGTAAGTTTCAGAGTTGCACCCTTCTTGAGCTCCACTTCTGCTGTACCACTCTAGAAGCATAAACAAAGCATTATTGGTACTGTTTTAGGGCATACAATAAGGTTATAATGCTAGTGACACCTTTTAAATCTAACAAGGTTCTTCCTATGTTGTTTAGAAAGTTCCTAACCCATCCCTCATGTGAAAGGATATTCAATACAAGTTCCTACTTTAGCCAAATTTAGGAAACTTTCTCATAAAAGTGTTCAACATTCCCTTTATTCATCAATGTTGATTTTTAGAGTAACAGAACTCAAATCCAAGTGAGCCATACAAGGATTTGTGTGTGTTCTTCATCCCAACCTGGCTAAGAACAGAATAGCTACTCCCTAACGACATTTTTGTGTTGTTTTAGAAATTAGAAATGTCATTTTCTCCTCTGAACATCAGTCTCTAATTTGCATTCCTGCCCATAGATCATTTTATGCTGCAGCAGGTTACATTCAGCTATATATGGCAATCACAGCACTGTTACCTCAACAGACTATTATTGCTAAAGAGACCACAGGTTAAGAGTATATTCAGAAGAGGGATGAATGGCATCTTAAACAAATTGCATGTGGTCGTGATCCAGTAATGGAAGTCAGTACAGAATAACACAGCTTACTCCCTTGATGAGTCCAGTTCTGATTTCAGGTCCCTTAGTATCCAGTGCAATAGCAACAGGTCTGTATGAAATTGGATCAGAAGCAAAGCTCTCGGTAGCTTCTCGTACATTCTTGATTGTTCCTGCATGGTACTAGTAAGGAAGAAAATTCAAATGTTAGTTAACAAAAAGGACAACTGGTTAATGAGCTAGATATTTACTGCTCAATTGTAGTAATAGCAGCATGAGTAGTAGTAACTGCATGCAAAAACATACTGTGTTGTAATCAAGCCCTCAGTTCTAACCAATGTTAGCTTAACCCAGGTCACAGCCTTTGGCTCTAGTCAGAGGTGGCTCATTCTCATGATTAATTGACTTAGGCTTCACAGGTTATTTAAAAAGGACTGTTTGCTTGTCTTGATCAAACACATCAGATAGTTTGCAGGCATGATTAAAGGCAACTTTAACTAAAATGGCTTTTCTAAGCAAGATAGCAGCATAGGAGACTACTGTGACACTTAGGTGAAACTGGAAAATAAGCAGGGTCTCTACAGGTTTCTGATTTTTGAGTATGTGTGTAATAAACATGTTAACTTACAGCACCCCAACTACAGATGCAGTTTTAAGGTGACAGAATGAGCAGGAATGTCACTAGAGATGTTTCTGGACAGAAACTAGTTCATTTTATCTCACTAACTTACAGAAATTTAAGTGACCTTGATGAAAAGGTGTTTTTTTTTACTGCCATCAGAATACGAAGGTTCACGTCTCCCAAATGATATTGGATGCCAACTCCATTAGATCCAAATAATATGGCCAATACACCAAATTCTTGGGCACTATGGTTCCGTATTTGGGAGAGCCACAGATTTACCATTTCCTGTTTCAGTAGGTGAACAATAAATATAACAGGACCACGGCTTAGCTGTCTCTACTTTTGATTTTAGAGCTGTTTCACAACTTTCAAGTTGAGAGGTAAGTGGATTAAGTACTGCAGCAGTATTTTGATGAACATTTTTAACATGTTACCTTTTAAGATGGGAAGATTCTGAGAATCAAGATTTTTTTTGTCGTGTCAGGAGAGACTTGAGAATCTGCAAGTCACTTCTGGTGTGAGAGAATTGGCCATCTGCAAGGACARTGCCCAGGGGACGCCTAGATGATTTGATGTTTTATCATCCTTGTGGGAGGCTTCTCTCATGTCCACACATGAGGAGCTGGAGCTYGTAGAGGGAYCTCATCCGCCTCTCCCCGGATTCGAACCTGCGACCTGTCGGTCTTCAGTCCTGCCGGCACAAGGGTTTAACCCACTGTGCCACCGGGMGCTCCAGATGAAGATCAAGAAAACTCCTGCCCAGGCAGCAGCTTGTCTGACCTTTCAAAGGCTACAGAGGCAGTTCAGTGGCCTTTAAGGAAACCTACAGCTGGGAATGGGAGCTACTATTCCAGCAGCAATAGCAAGAAGGCCGCTTTATTTTTAGAACAAGAACTGCCCTACACTACATATGTTACTTGTGATTCTTGTGACCTTATCTCGAAGACTATGACATTTAAAGAAACAGGGAGCTTCCAACATAGATAAATTCTTAAACTATGGAAAATATATGTACTGTATTTTATCAAACTAGCAAAACCTTCTYTTCATAAACTATTTAATTCCTTGCAGATCTCATAGTTTTGAGGGGAGGTAGCAAATATACCCTGAAGTAGCAACTACAAAAAAATCTAAGCAATAATTAGTAAGGTAAATAAAGGTTTCCSCTGAGATTAAGTCTAGTCATGTCCAACTCCGGGGGTAGGGTGGTGCTCATCTCCATTTCTAAGCCAAAGAACCYTAGACACCTTCAAGGTCACATGGCCAGCATGACTGCATAGAGCACCATTAACTTCCCACCAGAGCAGTACCTATTGACCTACTCACATTTGCATGTTTTCAAACTGCTAGGTTGGCAGAAGCTGGGACTAACAGCAGTAGTTCACCCCACTCCCTAGATTCAAACCACTGACCTTTTGGTCAGCAAGTTCAGCAGCTTGGCAGTTTAACCTGCTGCACCACCAGGAGCTCCCAATAATTAGTAGCTTCCTACTAATTTTTGTTTCAAATTAAATCCCACTCCCTTAAAGCCCAGCATCATTGCTGAACAGTTTCAAGACCTTGGTTTCTAAGTCCAACACATATCAGAAGTATCTTGTAACAGAGAACTGACCTTTAGTAGCTGAACTTTCAGTAAGTACTGAAATGGATACTATGTACCCTTCAAAGATTTTGTTTTCATTCTACCTTCTGACATTCACTGTCATAAAGTCAAACCCTGCATGCACACAGATCTATAACCCAAGACTGTCAAGAATACGGCAGTTAAGATTACTGCTTCTTGTAGAAACATTTTCCTTAACTACACTCCAGCCTCACACAGGACTAAGGGTTTTGATTTCTGCTGTCCTCAGAAAGCAGACTTCAATGTTTCAGTTGCTCCATGATGGAACTGCATGGAAACACAGTTTTAAGACAATTCAGTAGGAAGAGGTAGTGAAATGGTAGAGGTCAGGCTAGAGATTTCTGAGAAAAATCCTCTGAATTTCTAAGAAATGCTATGGAATCCTAGGAGTTGTAGTTTTACAAAGTCTTCAGCTTCCACTGCAAGTGACACTACCTCATCAAACTCCTATGATTCTATAGCATTAAAGTAGTGTCGATCTGCATTAATTTTACAGTGTAAATGAACCCAGGGATATAGTCACATCGTCCACATGTTACTTGCAAGAGAGGCTAGAGGAAAAATCTGAAGACTATAAGACTTTCCTAATGGCTCTAAAAACAATAAAAGTAATGAAAGCATAAAATGAAAACACAATTCAACCCTGTCTCAAACTTTCCCCAGGTGTAGTGTTTCAACCTGCCCTTACCTCATGAGTTCCATGAGAGAAGTTGAGACGGGCAACATTCATTCCAGATTTAATCATTTCTCTCAACATTTCAACTGAACGGGAAGCCGGGCCTAGATAGTTCAAAACAAAGTTTTATTAGCAGATGCAGTTTGTTACCCCGCAAGAACAATGTAATGGAGACAAAAATGTTACTTATTTATTGCAATGCTTCTATGACTATCGCTTTGAATTTTAATTTTTTTGTGAACTTCCAAGGGCTTGCTTTATATTTTTATGGTTAGATATAATTTTATAGTGTAACTGTTTGTACAATTTTAGATTTTATTTAATAATTGATTGTTCGATTTGCTTTGGGAGTGGGTGGGTTGTTAATGTATTCATGTTTGCACTTGTGGTGAGGCATTTAATGTTTGCCTCTATGTTTTTTGTTTGTTGGAAGCCGTCCCAAGTCCCTCTTGGAGGTTAAGAAGGACGGGGTATAAATGTTCTAAATAAATACATACAAATAAATCATTATTATTATTTATTGTTTTGACAAATGCATCAAGGTTTTGCTTATCTTATATAAAGAAGTATTTGCTCAAGCAGGGAACAAAGTAACCAAATCTCACTTTTCTACAAGAACTTCACAAACAGAATTATTTTATCCAAGTGAAACCTTTCTTTAAAATCAGTAGATCATACCAATTGTGCAGATGATGCCAGTGTTTCTGGCAGTGATTGGGGGAGAATCAATGTCCAGGCGGCACATGTGTTCCAGGAATGTGTCTGCAAAGGCAGCATGCAGCTGCTGGGTCTGGATGAAGGCATCATGTTCCTTAGACATGGCTTCTGGGGCTCTTGGGACTATGACTTCTGCTGCTGTTGCTGCTGCTGCTGGAGGCTGGTAACTAAAATAAGAGAAGAAAATTAGTCAGCTTTAAGTAACTTGGAAAGCCAGTATCCCGTTGGAAGATGAGGTATCAGTTATATCTGCTCCATTGGTATCAGGAAACCAATGAACAGTAAATTCTAATTTGTCATAACTGAAATGATACACTAAGGGAGTATCTGCACTACACAATTAATGCAGTTTGACACAATTTTAAGCGCCATGGCTCAATGTTAGGGATCCATGGGCATTGTAGTTTGGCAAGGCACCAGCACTCTTTGAATAAAAAGGGCTAAAGACCATGTAAAATTTCAATTCCCAGGATCGCATAGCATTGAGCCATGGCAATTAAAGTGGTTTCAAACTGCATTAATTCTATAGTGTAGATGCACCCTAAGAAGGAGGCCTTAGTCTGCATTATAGCAAAATTCAGTACCCAGCAGCCCTTCACCCATGTGAAATCATATTGTTCATGCCACATCCATGACCCACTGAGCCCCACCCAAGAGCAAGGGAGGGTACATTAGCAATTATGCCTAGATGGTGATTCAAGTAGGTTTTTCTGCATTAGGACAAAGTTGCTTGATCATTGAGCAACCAACTGTAATTCATAGTATGAATCAGCCCAGCAGAAGGACTCCATGTCCCTATGACAGACTGGAGTTCTTCATGGCAAACATAGCTATTCAAATCTTCCCATGGATTTACAGGAAAGAGAACTACAAACTACATTAAATAGCCAGCAGATGCCTCTCCTAAACAAGCCTGTTCTGCACTGTTTTTAGGAACGTTCTATGTACTAAGCAGTACAGATAAATATTGGGCCAAGAAGAACAAAACTGAGAAGATGCTTTTCCTTTTTTCAGACTATATATATATATATATATATATATATATATATATATATAAACAGTTTTAAAATCAAGCTGTACATTAAACCTCAGATAAGTATATTATTGCCACTACAAAAGTTAATTATGGATTAATGGACATTTAAAACTAGCCCCTAGTAAGCTGGAATAATTAAATAGGCTTAAGCTTAATATTGCACTTTGGCAGGCACCCTGCATACATACCACCTTAGAAGTAACTGATACAAATAGCACCACCAGTTAGGTTAGGTGAGCAATTTCCCACCATGAAGAGACCTATTTCAACACTACTCTAGAAGTGGCCATTATTTTACAGATATTCTCTCTGAAGGTGCCAAAGAGGCTTTTCTACAACTGCAACTAGATCCTCAGTCCACATTGCCATTGTGACAAATGAAGTATAAAATAGCAATGACTGGGCTTTTATATAATAATTGTTTATTGATGGTTGGTGTTTTGCATTAATTTTGTTTTATCTTAATTTGATATATTATGTATTTTGTTACTATTATCTAATATGTTTTATTTCATGGCTGTAAGCTGCTCCGAGGCCTTTTGGGAGATGGGGCGGGGTACAAATAAAGCTTTATTATAATTATTAAAATATCTGAGTGGAACCAGATTGGCAAAGGGCATTTTACTGCATATTTTACATTACACTCCAGTAGTTAATGCTGACCACATACACCACAACTAAAGGATGATCCTGTCAAAGGGAACACACACACCAAACACTAACCATAATTGTATTTGTTAAACACAAGATACTGAACAAAATCCTATTTCACTCCATTTTTAAAGGCATGTGTGTCAAGAACTACATTGTATTACATTCTGTATAACATCTTTTCTGTTAGGTTTTACTTTGGAATGCACATCTTTATAGCTGTTCTATGATACAAGAACAGACATTACTGTAACATCTTCTATAATAAATGTGGCAAGAACTTCTATTCATGGCATTCTTCTCTTTCTAGAGTTATCCTGATAACTCTTTTTTATTGCTCTTTGCCCCTAGCCCTCATATGGGCAAGAAGGGGAGAAGGACTGTAATTTGAACATAATCACTATTTTTTTCTCAAATTTTGTAATGTCTTCCCCTGTTGAAGATGCCAATGAAACTGTGAAAGCTTTCATAATGTACTATATGGCCCAATAAAAGTACTCTTGCGTCTGGATTTTGTTAATTTTTACTAATGACTACTAAGCCACCTGTATTTGGTATTTTACAACAACCTAAATAAAAAAATTAAATAACTGATGTGAACGACTATAATCAGTTCATTCTCATCTTAAACAGTGTTTAAACAAACTATAATACTATTATTAACTGAAACTTAATTCAGTTAAGCACAGTAAAGAGAACCCTCTGCAGTTCTTCAGTATGGTTATTTCAAGCAGGCTTAAGCTTTGGACAGTAGCTCTTAAATACAGCTTTGACGGGGAAGAGAAGCTCCACCTTTTCTGGTCAGGACCTCTGCTGTACGTGCAGTTTCCCTCGCAGGCAGGGGTTTAATTCATTCAAATGAGATTTAATGCAAGCAGGATTCCCTCTCCTTACTTCTTCAATTCCCGGACCCGGCTTCTCTTAAGATGCTGACTCACTTTCAAATGAGTAACAGACAACAGAAGTCTCCCAAAGGCAGTGATTCAGAGAGGAAAAACTGTTGCAAAGATTGCACAGTGGTATTTCCAGCACAGTAATAGCAAGAGGATTCTCATGCTACCAGCTTCATATTGGTCCCAACAAAGCCTACTGCAAAAAAGATATGATCAGTAATCTAAGCAGGTCTCTGCAACGTATCGTACTACACTCCATTTTTAAAATCACTCTTATTTTAATTATGTGAACCATTCTGATAACCTTGTAACATGATGGCTTATACAAGGGGTACTTAAGCATGGACCTTTAGAGAGTCTATGAATGGCCTTCAGGGAGTCCAAACTGCCTGCTAATCTTTTCTCTGATTTACTTCCATTTAATTTCAAAAATATTTTGAGTTTTTTTCTATTAAAAGTACCATAGCTCTAATTATGTTAACTACTACATACCTTTGTGAGGCAGGGCTTTCCTCACTTGTTTCCATGTAAAGGAAAAATCGAAACCGACTGTAAGTCATAGATGACATAGGTGCTGCTGTATCAAAGACCACTTCACAATCTCAACTTCTTATTCAAGCCTTACAATGGCATCCTTCTCCTTAAAATTTACTTTTGAGCAGAATTAAATTTTCCTTGATATATTAGTACAGTTTGAATTTATTTCAGTTTTTCAGAAAGTGGCAATTTTTGCATGAAAAAACAAGAGAGAAATAATTCTTTGTAAAGACTGTTTTTACATTCTATCTATGTGAAGGATATTTATTCCTATGCAGTAAGACATCTGTATGCAAAACTATATGTATATAAAAAGAAACTGTTTCCCCTTGACATTGTCTAGTCATATCCAACTCTGGGGGGTGGTGCTCATCTCCATTACTAAGCCGAAGAGCCAGTGTTGTCCATAGACATAGCTTAGGTCATGTGGCCAGCATGACTGCATGGAGCACCATATATATTTATGAACATTTTTCTGGAGTGGCTTCAAAAAAGCATGTCATCCTCCCAAAAAATGTTATGAACCACTAGCCTAAAGTATGTTTTCCTATTGACATATGCTCAATTATTCAGTTTAGTAGTGATCAATAAAAAACTAACAGCTATAATTGTATACTCATGCAATAAATATCTTCTAGAAAATAAACATATTGAATTTTAACCATCTTTAAATTTTAAACTCAAATAATTAAAGATATTATTATAGTAAAATATGTTTTATGGAAAGACTGGAACTGTTTTGATTTTCAGATATATTCTCGAGAGTTTAATTTCAATGCAACCAAAACTTAACTTAAAATAACATTGTCCTTAGAGCTCTCACCACCTTAGAAAAGGAAGTGTGCTAGAATAAAAAAAATCATACAGGTTCAAAAACTAACAGATCAAGATCCAGGAACCTAGGTTACCTAGGCCAAGGATTAGCACAGAATTTTAAGTGCCAACTTTAAAAAAGTGTATTCCCTGAAAGTGAAGTTTTCAAAAGGCTTGTATAAATGCCATGGAGCACAATATAATTTTTCCCTATAATATACCATAGGCCTAAACGTTTAAGAATTCAAAGCCTCGTGAACAATTGGCTGCCCAAACGTTACCTGGTAAACACTCAAATATTGTAAAAAAAAAAAAAGATTACTCTAATATGGACTCAACTTGACTCCATAATATAATACTTATCATCTCTCTTTTAAAAAAGATAAAGCAGCAGGTCAATGCAATACAACTATGGCAGAAAAAAGTCACGTGACAAATTAAATCAATCCTTATCTTGAATTGCTAGTAGAATACTAGAAGATACAGCATGGATGATACTCCGGGTCAAGGGTTCCAGAGTTATAAAACATGGCTATAATTATTTTACTATCTGATGAAACCCCACAGGATAAAAAGCGAGTAACTATCACATAAAAATACCAGGTATTTTTGAAAACAGGAGATACAACATGTCTTTAACATGTCTCCACCTAATCTTGAGCAATTCTTAAAAAAATTAGTTGACTAGCTTTAGCATTATTTTCAGAACTGCCTTCCTAGCCTTAGTGAAATAAATGACCCTTTTATGCCATTAAGCCAAACACAATGAGAACAGGCCTTCAGCTAAATTTAGAGGCACATCTACTATGCCATCATTGGTTGCGCTATTTGTTTGAGGTTTCACTGCACACAGAGACCATAGTGGCAATAGGCTGTTATTACAGCCGTTTGCAATCCTACGTGCCAAGCAGCACAGCATACTGCAGCAAGCCAAAGGCATCATGGAAAAGATGGGTGCTCAACCTGCCTGCATCTGCATTTGTCTAGATGGAGCTGACCTCAGTGATGCAAGATACAGTCTGACTCAAATATTCTGCTATAGTCGTATTTGTGTAATTGCAGGTTTCAGTGAAGCAGAAACAATAGCCTACTAACAATTCCTTTTAAGAAAATTCTTCCCTTACATATTTCACTCTCTCATACACAAAGATAAATAATCACTTCGTGATTTTGTAATAGTGCACAGTTAAGTTTATACTATTAATATTGCTCTATTGCATTTTTACATCTATTATTAGATATTTTTGCAATGTGAAATATTAGCTTACACTATGCAAAAAAGATGTAACAAACTGTAAGATACAACTTATTTAAAAGAATTAAATTGTGTCTTGTTGCTTCTACTGCAACGTAACTGTTAAAAATAAAATACAATGTGTGTGCACTCGATCCATTTCATAACAGGCAAGGCAACATTATTGCAAAACTTTGGTGAGTTTATAATACCAGCTGTGGAGAAAATAAAAGCAAATTTGACCCTCGCAGTTCTGATGTACTTTTTATGGTTGACTTCTCTGGTGCTGTAAATTTTGAACTTTTCCAATATAAATCTCTGAACCTCAACCAATTTTCAGGAAAATTTGGAAGATTTTTCATTAAGCTCCTAGAAGGGCAAATATCTGATGCTTTATCCAAGCATCTACACTTGTATTCCCTGACTTGATACCCTCCAGATTGGCTTGACTACAACCACAATCATCTCCAAGCCAAGATGCCTATTCCCCATATATGACTGGGTAAGAAATTTTAGTGCAGCACAACTGGAAGCAAAATCAGATCTCCAACTTCATTTGCTGTAAGCCAATTAAAAAAATTGCACAAGCTACAGGTGTTGCACCTGATCTGTATCATGTCAGAAGGAACTTGGGCCTTCCACGTAAATTAAAGATAATTTGAATCCTATAGCACTACATGCACTTTGCCAAGCACTTCCTCTTCTAATAAGCAGCCCATAGACACGTTTCTACATGGTGACAAAATAGTATTAGATGTGTCAGGGCAAAGCTTTGGCAGGTTAGAAACAGGCCCTGTACTTTCTGTTCTGTGATGAGTAAAATAGAGCTGCTCTAAAAAATTAATTCTCGCTTCTGTAGCTAACAAAACTGAAGCAGTACATTTCTTAATAGTCCATTAAATGTGCCATTTGCTTAGTCATTTCCTTATTCCAGTAATTGGAAATTGCACCACATCTGAGGCAATTTCACTTCACATCCAGATATGACGGGCCATCACCATACCTGCATGGCCTATATCCTCTGTGGCATGACAAAATGTCTTACCACCAGTAGTAAATGGTAACCTCAAAAATAGGCTTCTATCAGTCATTCTTGCAGATAACAGCTAATGTTCTTATTCAAGTCAAGTCATTTAACTCACCCACATTTCCCATCAAATGTAACTAGTATTACCCACATTACATGACCAGACTATGTTCCCTCAGGTCTTGCTACAAGGTTAGCTCATTTTTGTTGCCTGGGGTGTGGGGGAGGTATACCAAGAAAGTATCCAAGAACTCTTGCAATATTATAGAAAATTCTGGGTTACACAATTTGTAGAAAATCTTAATTCACAAGCTGCTTCTGATGTACTAAAACTGTTTCCAAGGACAGCTTCCTAGTCTTCCTGTTATTGCTGAATCAGGCCTCTTGATACTGTACTCTCTATAAAGACTAATTTTTGTAGTTGGGGAATTCTTACTACACATAACTGAGACATTTACTATAAACAGTTACTGTAATATTATTTTGAAATATGCCAACCAGAAAATGCTGTGCCTTCAGAACTGTAAGCAAGCAAAGGTTTCACAACTTCCCTGCACATACAAGAAAATGCAAACCTCCCAATCAAAAATCCAAGTGAAATTTCATCATAAAATGGTGTTAATGTTAGGTTTACTTAACAGCATTTCCCCCCAAGAAACACCCCAGTACTGTCATGATATCAACTTAAGGTGCAGGCAGTCACATTAATGCCAAGATCTATTTGCTCCTACTCCAACAAGTGTGAAACCTTTGCTCTGTACAGAGCTGCTGCAGTAGTCAAGGTCACCCCACAAAAGCGCCTTATCATGGTTGACCAGTGTTCCCAAGTAGTCTTGCCTTCTCAGTGCTCAAACCAAAAAGATGCCAAGGTTTAAAAATATATTGGGAAAACCTTATGGGAGGGGGGCATTAACACTATCCTACCTGAGCAAATCAGAGCAAGCCTCCAAACCATTTACATGCTTCCATATGAATAAGCACCACTGTAACTCTGTAGCAATTACTTCCACATAAATCTGTGTGTGCTTGGGCTGCACAAATGAAGGAAAAGAGAAAAAAAAGACATTGATACCTTGCTGTGCAACCCATAAAACCAGGCCCTTTGCGAGAGTGGAGCCCTGCCAGAAATGGCTGAGATCGTAATATGACACTCAGCTCTTCATCCTAGGAAGCAGCCCACTAGTGACTGAGCAGCTGCTCCCTCCATCAGCAGGGCAGCTTTCAAAGGGGAGAAAGGAGAGGCGTGCAAAGAAAGAGAGGCCTGGGGGGATGGGAAGTGGCCATCATGGACGCTTTGGAGGCACGTAAAAGGGCCATCCATGCATCTATCCCCATGCGGACGTGCCCACACCTACCCTTTGGCCTTAATTCTACTGCTAGTCTCATCTGCAGCCATTTCCTCTGTGGGGCTTACCTACAGGTTGATTCGCCATTCAACAACTGGTACAATTAACCTACTCCAGTTTGCCTATTTATTTTAATCCTTCCTTTTTTCAGCTATAGGGCCTTGAGATATCTAACAGCTAACACAAGACAATTAAAATACTAAAATGCACATAAATATACACGTAAAAAGTACCCAACTCCCCCCTTCACCCCAGTCCAAGGAGCCTGCACCCCATGCTCCACAAGTGAAGGCAAATGAGCCAACATGGTGTCTCTAGGGGTCCTTCCACACAGCCATATAACCCAGAACATCAAGGCAAAACATCCCACAATATCTGTTTTGAACTGGATTATCTGAGTCCACACTGCCATACACTCCAGTTCAAAGCAGAAAATGTGGGATTATATTCAGCTGTGTGGAGGAGGGCTAGGGAAGGAGTTTCAGTCACCAAAAAGACCCTCTTCTTTGTTCCTCTGCTTGAGAGGGTGGTGATGATTGTGCAATTGATTGTCCAGGTGGCACAGTTCTTACAGGTTCATACAAATGGATATGGCCCTGAATCCAAGTCTTATAGGGCTTTACCAAGTCCCTAGAGCATGTCTGGGCCAACTTGAGCCCTCCAGGTGTTTTGGACTTCAACTCCCACAATTCCTAACAGCCGGTATGTGGTTAGGAATTGTGGGACTTGAAGTCCAATACACTTGGAGGCCCAAGTTGGTCTAGGCCTGCCCTAGACTGTGCGGCTCTTTTTCCTTCTTTCCTTTCCCCATCACCCAAAATTCTTCAGTTGCTTCCCAAGGAGATGGAACATCACACTATGTAACACTATTTTTTTGTTCCTAGGTGATAAATGTCATTTCCAAATTGGTCCTATCATTAAAACATGGAAAGAGTTTATTAATCTGCAAAAAACAAAACCCTTGCTCTATCGTTTTTCAATGAATATCTCATCAAGTCTCAACCCATTCAGCATACATTGTCAAAGACTTCCATGGCTGAAATTACAAGGTTGCTGTGAGCTTTCTCACAGCCAAGTTCCAGAAGCCTTCTTTTAACTGTTTGGCTGGGCTTTGTCCCCATGTAAGCTGCCCCAAGTCCCTTCAGGGAGATGGTGGCAGGATACAAAATAAAGTTATTGTTGTTATTATTATTATTATTATTATTATTTCTCTCCTTACATTTCACCTGCATCTATGGCAGGTATCTTCAGAGGTTTTGATTAATTGCAACACTCACATTTTATTGGTATTATATTTCTCTCCTGATGTTTCACCTGCATCTATGGCAGGCATCCTCAGAGATTGTGATTAATTGCAACATTCACACTTGCCTCAAACAGAAAAGAGTTCTTTCACCCGCCCTGGATCTTCAACAGATATATAAACCTCCACTGCATAGTTTCCAACAGGCCCCACAACCTTTAAGGATGCTTGCCATAGATGTAGGAGAAACCGCCAGGAGAGAATGTTTCTGGAACATGGCCATTCTGCCCGAAAAACTCACAGCAAACCATTCAACATAGTTTGCAGTAACCACAAAAAAATGAAGTTTCTGCATTAGAACAACAACTTTCTAAGCAAGGAAGAGATTCCTCTTGCAAGGGCAAGAAAGATACACCATAATCAGCATAAGCCTTTTTTTATTTTGAAAGCTATCAAGAAGAGAGCACATTTCCTGAAAGAAGCACCCGGAAAATATGATTCTGAGTTGTTGTAGGTTTTTTTGGGCTATATGACCATGTTCTAGAAGCATTCTCTCCTGATGTTTTGCCTGCATCTATGGCAAGCATCCTCACAACCTCTGAGGATTGCTTGCCATAGATGCAAGCGAAACATCAGGAGATAATGCCTCTAGAACATGGTCATATAGCCCAAAAAAACCTACAACAACCCAGTGATTCCGGCCATGAAAGCCTGCGACAACAAGATTCTGACTGTAAATAGGTCAGCTGCTGTCCTCACCTTTTTGCTTTGTATTTTATTCATTTTGTATTTTGAAATGGTCATATGTCCAGTCAAATAAATAAATTATTATTAGCATAGTTTGCAGTAACAACAAAAATTGAAGATTCTGCATTAGAACAACTCTCAAAAGCAAGGACTGCACAATTAAACAGGAAATAACACTTTCAAGCCAGGAACAAGAGTATATATTATAATTATATATTTACATTACATGCAATATTACTAATAATATTACAATATAATGGTATAGTGCAATATAGTCATATATAATACTGATATTGTACTATGCTAATAATATAATATATTATATGAAGATATATATTGTAAGCCGCTCATTCCTTTTCTCCATCAGTGGTCACCTCGATCCACCCAGGAAAATCTCCAATACATACCGGGCCCTAAGGAGGTACACCTGGAAGCTACAAGGCGTAGAGCTTTTTCGACCTATGCTCCAATTCTGTGGAACTCATTGCCTCCATATATTAGACCTATGTCGGAGTTGCGACCTTTTGTAAAGGCGCTCAATACTTGGCTGTTTGGTTGCGCATTTAAATCAAGTGATCAGATCTAATTTGCCAAATACTCACTGTTGAATGTTTTTATATTGTGTAAGTGCTATTTTGGAAAGTCCTGAGAGTGCCTTGGACTGCGAGAAGATCCAACCAGTCCATCCTCCAGGAAATAAAGCCCAACTGCTCATTGGAGGGAAGGATACTAGAGACAAAGTTGAAGTCTTTGGCCACATCATTTTTTTTGTCGTGTCAGGAGCGACTTGAGAAACTGCAAGTCTCTTCTGGTGTGAGAGAATTGCTGTCTGCAAGGACATTGCCCAGGGGACACCTAGATGTTTTGATGTTTTACCATCCTTGTGGGAGGCTTCTATCATGTGCCCACATGGGGAGCTGGAGCTGACAGAGGGAGCTCAACCTGCTCTCCCCGGATTTGAACTGCCGACCTGTTGGTCAGCAAGGGTTTACCCACAGCTTTGAAGACAGCAAAGCCTAGAGAAGACAATTATGCTGGGGAAAGTGGAAGGTAAAGGGAAGAGGGGCCGACCAAGGGCAAGATGGATGGATGGCATCCTTGAAGTGACTGGACTGACCTTGAAGGAGCTGGGGGTGGTGACGGCCGACAGGGAGCTCTGGCGTGGGCTGGTCCATGAGGTCACGAATGGGCGACTTGGAAGGCACTGAACAGACTGCGCTCTGGCACCACGAAATGCAGAGCCAATCTTAAGAAATGGGGCTACAAAGTGGAATCCTCGGCATGAGAGTGCGGAGAACAAACCACTGACCACCTGCTGCAATGCAATCTGAGCCCTGCCACATGCACAATGGAGGACCTTCTTGCGGCAACCCCAGAGGCACTCCAAGTGGCCAGATACTGCTCAAAGGACATTTAACCAACCACCAAATTTGCAAAATCTGTGTTTCTTTTCTTTTTCTTTTTAATCTGTGTGTTTGTTTTGCTGTTAGAATTGTAATACAATGGTTGCTGATGACACGATAAATAAATAGTGCTATTTTAAATTGCAAGTCGCTGGGAGCACCTTGGTGGAGAGCGACTAATTAAGAAACAAAGCGAAGTGAATATAAATGCCGGAAATAAATAAATAAATAAATATTTTTCCCTTTTTTTCCTCCTCCTAACATGGCGTCATTGGGTGAGATCATGGAAATGGAAGAGGATGATGGAGGGCATGGTGAGGAGTCATGGTTTGAGATGGAAGGATGGGCTCCATCTTCTCACCTGCAAGCCACAGGTTTTCCTGATGAGGAAGGCGCATACCCATGGAGGCTGGAAAATGCGGCCCTGTGATTGGCCACTCTGTCCACGCAGTCCCTTGAGAGAGATCTGCATCCTTTTAGGCCTCTGAGGCAGGCCTGGGGCCAACTTGGGCCCTCCAGGTGTTTTGGACTTCAACTCCCACAATTCCTAACAGCCGTAGTTGAAGTCCAAAACACCTGGAAGGCCCAAGTTGGCCCCAGGCCTGCCTCAGAGCCTCAGCCGCATCCCAAAGGCCGAACTTCCGGCCAGGCCCTTTAAAAAGGGGATCATGAGGCGAATAGGAAAATATGTGGAAAGAGGGAGTGTTTTGCCCTCAGGCTCCAAGTGCAAGGCCGCTTCCTTCTCCTCCTGGCCCGCCTACTCGCTCCTCCATCCTTACCTGCCCGGCTTTCACACGTCAGTTCCCTCGGAGAGTCGTTCCCTCTCTGAGAGGACGTTCCTCTCGACGCGCCGCCAAAGTGCCTGTTAGCGCCGCCTTTCGGATTCTTCCGCGCGAGCGCCTGCTCTCCTTCTCCGCCAATCGCGTCCCGAGAATCCCAAGTGGGCGGGTCCTTGGGACTATTTCCTCCCCTTCCCCGCGGAGGGATTAAGAGGTGCTGCGTCCTCAAGGTCTAACGGTCCAAGGCGGAGGCAGCCAATCGGGTAGCGCGCCGGCTGTGATTGACAGGGGCAGCTGTTGGAGGG